TGTCGCACATGCACGACGCGACGACCACCGACTTTTAATTTGTCAAATCATAAAATATTCTATTGCATAATATATTTTTGGTTCCCACATTAAAACTTCTTCTAAAATAAGGCTGTCTCGATGTCAGTGATCATATCATATAATGTGCTGAGCTGAGTAGATTGTAATGTAAATCAAACTTGCATTATTGTTTGTAATTTTGAAGTTCAACAAAGCAATTTATAATATAACATCACATTTGATTGAAGGCGTGAGGAGGTGGTTGAGGTGAAAGGGGAAAAGAGGGAAGCAAGCTGGCGAGGAAAATGTGACATAAGCTTTACCGTGTAAATGTTATTTTTATGAAGGTCATAAAGATTAGTGTATTGCAACATGTGACCAAAGTTGTCATTCACGTGACTTGGCCTAACTCTATACCAGTATGTAGTAGCTGTATAAACAACATCCACACTCCTTGGGACTGATTTGGTTGTCTTTGTTATCGGTGACTTCAGTGTATTTAAACAACGTTGATCCTGTCATGTTAATCACCACGTGTCAGCAGTGAGTTGTGGGTCACCTTTTGTGTCGACCATTGATCACACAGACTGTATTCTGACCTTTACCGTATTTTATACCACGAAATGTAGGCCATGTTTACTTGTGTTTTTTAGTTAATATTTTCGCGAATTATGCTATCGAAATATATGAAATATATATACACTAACATCGGGCCTTATTTTATTATTATATCTTTTATAAAAGCAAAAAAAAATCTTATAGAGAATTTCACTTCGCCATTTTATTGCAACTGCATCAACACTACAACACACAATTGGTAAATTGGTCACGAGAAAAAGAACGGGCGTAAACAGTAGCGGACCAGACATGGCGGCGGTGTACAGTGTTAATACGTGTACTCGTTATTCTTGTAGAATACACAAGTATGCGATGTGGGAATAACATGGAACATCAAATAATTTGATTTGCCAAATTACTGACTCAACATATCTAAAGCTAGTGATTGTTAAATATTTTCTGATTTTTTGCAAAATACTGAGTAAATTTCTGAATTTAAATTTAATAATGCGAACAATTTTAAATAAATATGCGCATAACTAGAACATAACAGTTAGGAATGGAATTGTCCGAGACTGTTGCCAGACTGGTACGTTCCAATGTAAATAAGATCTCATCGACTCCACTTTTAGGTTGCTTATTTACCGACACTAACACACTCACACAAGC